ATAGGGATTATTGAAATGAAATAAGCCAAATAATAAAATTGTTCACTAAAATGACATTAAACAAACTAAATTATAAGTAGGAAATCAAATTATTTATTTCTGTCAAACTAAATTTTTTCGAAGTATCCAACAGACTTCCATGAGCCACAAGTAACTTGTAATATCTGAATAGCTTACAGGTTTCAAGAAAATTAATGAGGCCAAATGTCGTGATCATTATCTTCATCTTTACATTACTGTTCCATTACCTGATGAAACAGTAATTTCTTCTTTGTTTTAAGAATCATCCATCACTTTTTACAATATTACATATACTTCATGTAAAGTCTCCACTGATCAATTCATTAACTTTATCTCATCCAATTAATTCTGTAAGCCCGAAACTTATCATTTGTTAAAAAAACAAATCTCGATCAATCTTCGAGACAAGAATAAAAACAACTATTATATTACCTATTTCAGAATCAAATTTGCTTTATTAATGCATGTTTGAATAAGTTTTACCACTTTATTTTACTATAATCATTTATTAATCAATTCAATTCTGTTTCTAATGATTATAATTTTAAAATCCCATTCTAGTTAAAAAATTTAATTTTTCGCTCAATCTATGTATTTTTTTGAAACAGATTATTTTGTTGCTATTGAGGTACTAATAATATCATTCATTTAGTATGAATTTCTTAATTATTTGATTGAATTTTATGTATTTAAACATAAAATAAATTAAAGATAATCAAATAGTTAAGAAAATAAAACATCTAATATTCTTAAAATCAAAATTAATAAATATGAAACATAACTCATGTTATAATTAAGAAATATAACAATAAAATATGAGGAATCTATCAAAAAAGATATCTTTAATTTTAAAATTTTGTAAATAAAATACAAAAAAAATAATCAAAAGTTTGTCATTGAAAGATTAAGTTTCAGACACCTCAAGTTGCCTTCTTTGTAGCTTTATGTTTAGCATTATAAATTAACTTTTTAGTAAATATTTCTAGTGTGAATGTGCTCTCTGAACACTAAAAATAAATGTCCTTAATTGTGACATATTGTAATATTCCTCAATAAAAAAAGTAAATATTTATTATAACCATATAAAATTATCTAACATTGATATGTAAAAAAAAAAAAAATGAGTTATCCCTTTTTGTTAATAGATTCCTTAAAAAATAATATAACTGTTATATAATAAAGTTTATAATCTAATAATAACAACAAGTTTTTTTACTCAATCAGGTATGTATTTTAAATATGACATCAATCCCAGAAATGTAGAAATTCTGCAACACTTATCAGAAAATATATATATACCATAATACTGTAAACCGTGGTTATTTTGGGGGTAAGGAGTTACTATTTTGCTATTGCTGTTTTTTATTTACTATACTAGAGTTTATTTTAAATTTGAAATCACCCAGCAGAATGGAAAATTGTTATATTAACACTAAACGAAAGTTGTCTCAATTTAAAAATGTTTTAGCCAGCCAGGTAATTTCATATTTAAAATAAACTCTTGTACATTATTGTAAATAAACTCTTGTACCCCCTAGTCCCAAAGTAACCGCAGTTTACAGTATACATGTATACATATATGTTAGTATAAAGCTTGAATGCCTAACAACATGTTTTCTGTGTGCTTCAGGCATTTAATAATAAAATTTATTTTTAACTGTTATGTTTGGTTTCTTCATTTTGTCAATTTAAAGCCATTATTAAAAAACTTATATTCTTTTTTTTTAAATAAATTTTATAATCACTGAAAAAATGTCTTTTTCTGAAAAAAAAATAAACATACAGAACAAAATTAATTTTAGTTACATAAAGGCAGATTAGATTATAAGTAGGTAGAGTCAAGCCAAGTAGTTCGAGCTACAATTATTACAACAGTTATTACAAGAGTGAATACTTACAAATTTTCAAATTATTATAGGTGTACCCTTCTTTTATAACCAGTACGGGAATAAAATAGCTAGGGTGAAAGATGGACTATAGGGACAGAAAGGCAGATTCTAGAATCACTTTCTGTTGAAAGTTAGACCACATAGTCCTTTCCACTGCTTGTGATTTACATCTCTCCCTATTTCTACCAGCGCCTACATACTCAAGTCTATATGGTGCTTCTCTATTCTTCCTCCAAGGAAGTCCAATGGGATTCAAGGACGACAGAGGGGATCCATATCTTGTATCTACTTAATAGATGTGGTGGTCCTGTTAGACACTCAAGCTAGATGGAAGATACTCAAGCTTTGTCTGAATGGCAGAGGTTGTATAAAAAATATTGTCTTTAATCGGTCCACTTGGGGCACCTGACAAACACTTCAGATTTCATACCCGGTTGAAGGGACAGGGGATATTTCCTGCAATTATTTTTAAGGACTCCCATACTTGTGAGCACCACCCACAATATCAGATAATGTTTACTACAATGATAATTCCTTATCCAAAGAAGATTCTACTTCCTCGGAGCAATTTAATATTTCAGATGTTTATTTTGAAATTATAGATAAAACTATCGATTGGAGCTCGGTTCAGTAATCTAACTGAGGAAGTCGGAGTGCTTCACATAAAAATGATGAGGCAGGATAGTTCCCTCCCTTTGGTACATCCAACTAACTTCATTGAAACTGCTGCAGATTATCTTCACCTATAAGAGGTATACTGTATCAATACATAAGAGAATATTGACAATTGCATCAATACATAAAGAATACTGACATACTTTTAATCTCAGAACCATGCTTCTTAGAGGCAGGCTAAAAAAATTGAGTATACCAGGATAAAACTTGAGATTTTGCAACAGCTCAATAAACTCCACAAAGGAAGCATTAATGATGCATGCCTAATGGAGATACAGCTCCTACAGAATTCCTCAGTGCATTCATAGACTGCAGATAGCACAATATAATCACAGTCTTAGATGTCAACATGCATGAAATAATATGGAGCAGCTCTCAGAGGCAAATAATTATTATAATTTATTATTAAATATGATTTTTATATTCCAAACTGGGAGAACAAACCTATCTTCTATAACAGGATAAGATCAGAATTAAGAGATATAATCACAAACAGTTACCACCAATATTGATATGTAACATGTTTCTAATGAAGCTTCCAATAGAAATGGTACCTAGTGGAACACCAACCTAAGCAAACAACAAATACTCACTAGGAGGATGTTTAATGTGAAAAAAAACTTCTGGTAGATGCGAAGCTTAAAAGTAAACTCTTAGTAAGTACCATAAATCTGTCAGAAGAACCAAAAAGCTTGAAGAAAGTTCTGTTAGGAGGTTGTCAATATTCTGATTGCATAAAAAGTTAATAAAATTCTCCTTGAGCAGTGGAAATAAAATTGTCAAAATCAATGGGATCCAGCTAACTCTGAGTAAGGAAGTGAAGCAACTGGGGGTTATTCTTTATCACAAAAGATAACAGCATACTCGTGAAACTAACAAAGCTCTCAAATGCCTTTGTGACCTGAAATATAACAAAAGGTATGAACTGGGAGCTTAAACAAAACTTGGCTATTGGTTGGATGTACAATATGGCCATCAGAGCTATTGTATTCTATTCAGCTTTTCTTTAATGGCACAAAGCGAAGTTTGGCATAGCTAGGATTCTAGTGGAGAAGCTTCTGAGATTAGCTTTTCTTATGATGTAAGGTGCAATGAAATGTACCCCAACTGCTCCTATAGAGCACCTATATAAAGCTCCTATATATACACTATGTAATGTATACAGTATAATGTATAGTGTATAATGTATGTGAGGATGAAATATTTTTCACTACTGACCACTTATGCGTTTTTATTTAATCCATTGTTCAAAAATGGATATGATCTTCAGTCACAGAAAAGTTACCTACTTCCTTATGGAAAGGCCACAAGCATAGTTTGAAAGTAGAATTGATCACTAAGTATACAGTAGCTCAACCCCCGACAGGCTTCCGACTCATATATGAGTCCACTATCGCATGTGCCCAATTCCATCTCAACTCTTACATAAGTCCATTGACATTAAAGAATCCAAAACTATTTACAGGCTTGCTAAATTTCCAAAATTGTCACTCAGGATGGACAATTGAAACTATTTCAAAAGATTGAAGATGACGGAGTGCTTGCAATGAAACATGTCAACATTGAAACAACAAAGTAGCATAAACCAAATAATGGAAGGCCATGATGGGGTATGACGTTAGCAATCTTCAGTTTAGCAGTCCCAGTTCAAATCGGGTTTGGACAGGATGCAATGTACTTCGTGGGCAGACCCACAAAACTAATCTCAACCTTCTGGTTATACCTTTAGAATATAATAGCATGACAAGGAGCAACATCACTCACAGGTGTTACTTGACTGGTGCCTGTACAAGAAGGAGCAAGCTATTGCTCAAGCTGGACAAGGTATTCCTGAGTAGAATTACAGTGATTTACTCTATAAACTGAATTGTCATATGTTTCAACACTGATTCACAGAATCACCTTTATCTATCATAATGAGGATGAAACAGCTTATCATACAGTTTGTGGGTGTGGACAGGTTTCCTTATCTTTACTTAAATTGTTTACAGGTAATCCTTAAGTGCTGTGAGCTTGTTAAACCCATAAGATTTCTAAAATTAATGGACGCAGTAAGAGTTATGTAGTAATTTAAAACAGTATTAACTATGGCACACAATAAACCTAATGAGGCTGCGGTGAATTATTCCAGTTTAAAAAATATATGTATATATATATATAGATATGACAATATTTTTTTAAATATTACTATTATAAATATCTTTAGAGAATTTATAATAAAAAAAAAAAACTTGTCATAATATTTTTTAAATGACATAATGTCCAGCAGTAGTGGCATGATCCACCAGACATTTATAAAAAAAAAAAAGTTAACTGGATTAACTTTATTATTGCATAAAGCAGATTTTTAATGGATTAATTCAAAGATAAAACAAACAAAAAAGTTATTTGGTTGATTAAAGGAAAATAACTAACTTATCAAGAGATCCATAAAGACAATGATTCTTTATATAATCAATGACAGTGTCTGCGACTAAGTACTTTACGCTCTCTCCTCTCCTCAAAGACCTCCGAATCTTAGTAGAACTGACTTCATTAGTGATCCATTCAGTTATAATATGAATATTATTCTGCAACATAGAATAACATAGTTCTGTCAATACAAAATTATAATTAATGTATTATTTTGCAATGAAAACTGAAATTAAAATAACTGATAAATAGAAATCATCAAATATATTTTGAATACCTTAATATTAGAGATAATTATTCTCATCAGATATTTGTATGTTCTTACATAAAATATTTTAAGGTTTTTATATACATATATATATTATTTCTTTTCTCACGCGGGCTCATTACCGCGTATGGGGAGCGTCCCACGGGTGGCGGATGTGGGGATGGTCGGTGGAAATTCCTTGGAAGTTCCTCCCGGCTAAGTCCGATGGACTCGCTGACCAACAATGAGAGGGGCCCTCCAGACTTGCTGGAGGTAGGGGCCCACCAGACTTGCTGGAGGGTGTGACATAGGATTGAACGCCCTACTCACATATCTTTAGTTCACCAAACACCACAAATAGTCATGGACGTCCCTAAGGTAAAACGCTCATTAGCTGGAAGTAAACTAGACCCCCGTTCGGGTCTCCGGGTGGGGACTGCTTTAGGGGATTCATGGTGCAAGTTGAAATATTGGTACGTGGAACGTAAGGAGTTTAAACACAGCAGGGGAGCTAAAATCGGTCGCGAATGAGGTAATTGGGTACAATTTGGATGTCGTGGCTCTGCAAGAGGTTCGCTGGCCAGGGGAGGGCTCGATGAGGGAAGGAAAGTACACTATTTGGTACGGAGGAAGCAGGAATCATTGTTTAGGTACTGGGTTTCTAATTAGGAATAGATTGCTATCCACTTTGAGGGACGTACAATTCTTTAGTGATAGAATTTCGGTAGCTATATTTCAGGAACATTGGTTTAAAATCTCATTAATAAACATACATTGTCCGACCGAAGACAGTGACGATGAAGTCAAAAGTGAATTTTACGATAAACTCGAATGGGTTTATGATAAACTACCGCGAAACTACATGAAAATAATTGCAGGTGACGCGAACGCAAAGGTAGGAAGGGAAGAAGTTTATATTCCGACGATTGGTAAAGAAAGTTTGCACGAATATAGTAATAATAATGGGATCCATCTGATAAACTTTGCCATCTCGAAAAACCTGATAATTAAAAGTACGACGTTTAAACATAAGGATATTCATAAATATACTTGGACATCACCGGATTCGCAAACACGAAATCAAATCGATCATGTCTTGATACAATATAGTCTGGCAAAGCAGTATAATTAATATACAGTCTTATCGCGAAGCAGAATGTGGGTCGGATCATGAATTAGTAATCGCGAAACTTCAACAAAAACTTAATATAAAAAAGAGAAAAGAAAACCGTTTCGATTTTGAGAATTTTAATTTGGAAAAATTAAAAAATCCATCAATTATAACCCAATTTGAGCTAGATGTTAAGATTAGGTTTGAAACTTTAGAGCTTCCTGACGAGGACCACAAGGATATTGACAAGTTATAGGTAGAGATCAGGGATAATATTAAAGCGGTCGGTAACTCGTGTCTAGGAAAAAAGGAAAATAAGAATAACAAACCGTGGTTTGATGAAGATTGCTTAAACATGTGCGAAAAAAGAAAAGCCACTAAATTAAAAGCTCTAAATAATCCTAGCGAAGACAATCTGGAATACTTCCGAACCTCAAAGAACGAAACGACAAAATTGCTCAAAAATAAAAAAAGGGAGTATCTTAAAAATAAAATAATTGAAATAGAATCGAAAATAACGTAAGAGACATGTAAAAGGTATAAACAGATCACGTAAACGTGTAGGGCCCGTAACGTCTGGAATTAGGGATGATAATAACAATATTCTGACCGATCCGGTTGACATATTGAATAAGTTTAAGGACCACTTTGACAATATTTTAAATACGGGAAATTATGATCTGTGTCCTCCTTCTGAGTACCAGAGTGCTGAACCATTAATAGAAGGACCAAGTAAAGAGGAAGTTGAAGTAGCTATCAGAAAATTAAAATCTTATAAAGCAGCGGGAACCGATAATATTCCTACTGAACTAATTAAGGCATGCGGAGAAGTTGGAGTGTCCAAAATACATCGGTTGGTTAAAAAGATCTGGGAGAACGAGAAATTACCTGAAGAATGGAAAGAATCTATTCTTATTCCGATTCACAAAAAGGGCCCGAGGACGGATTGCAATAACTATCGAGGAATTTCACTCCTTCCGGTCTATTATAAAATATTCACTTTAATCTTAACCAGTCGAATCACTGAATACACCGAGGAAATTATCGGAGACTACCAATGCGGATCTAGACGGAATCGTTAAACTATTGATCAAATATTTTCTTAACAGCAAATATTAGAGAAAAAATTGGAGTACAACGGTATTGTTCACCAGCTGCAGATAGATTTTAAAAAGGCTTACGATTCTATTGAGTACCAGAAACTGTATAATATTCTAATCGAGTAGGGGATTCCAATAAAACTAGTAAATCTAGTCAGGATGTGCTTGACGGAGACACTCAATAAAGTTAGAATCGGTAATAATCTGTCCGAAAAATTTGAGGTTAGTTCGGATTTAAAACAGGGGGATTCCCTTTCACCTGTCCTATTCAATTTGGCATTAGAACATGCCATAAGGGAGGTAATGCCTACCGAGAAAGGGTTGGATCTGGGTGGGACAACATCCGTGCTGGGCTATGCTGATGATCTGGTACTGTTAAGCGAAAACGTTGAAACTATAAGCGACAACGTTAATGAAAGCCAGTAAAAAACTAGGACTCAAAATCAACGTGGATAAAACAAAATATATGGTTAGCTGCAAAAATGGCGATATTACTGGTGATATAGATATAGATGATAATATGTCTGAACAGGTAGATAAATTTAAGTATCTACATTAAATCTAGGTTCTACGATAACTAGAAAAAACGAAATTGAAGAAGAGATTAAGGTTAGACTGAAGGCGGGAAATGCTTGTTATTTTTCTGTGACAAAACAACTTAGTTCGCGCCTCTTGTCCCGGAACTTAAAAATTAGAATCTATAAAACAATTATCTTGCCTACAGTTCTTTATGGATGCGAAACTTGGCCGCTTACATTAAGGGATGAGCAGCGTCTTAAGATTTTTGAAAATAAAGTATTGCGTAGAATATTCGGACCGAAGAAGGATGAGTTAACCGGAGAGTTCAGACGGTTACACAACGCCGAATTGCGTGAACTGTATCCGGGTAATATAATTGAGGTAATTTCATCGCGGCGAATCAAATGGGCTTGTAAAGTTGTTGGGCTTAGTAACGAGAGAATTCCTAAAAGGTTAATATTTGCTGTGCCGAATGGTAAGCGTCCGAGGGGTAGACCGAAGCGAAGGTGGGAAGATTGCATTAAAGCCGATCTGAAGCTACTGGGTTTGGACGGCGAACGATGGAGGGAGGTGTGTAATAAGCGATTGGTGGTGTCGGCATCGAACCTTTGGGTTCGCTAAGCCTTTTATTATTATTATATATATTTTTTATTATATTATTTTTTATTATATTATTTTATATTAGTGTTTTACAACTATAATCAATACATTTTAAAGAACAACACAGTAGAAAAATTACGATTATTAAACTAGATATTGAATTAATTCTCAAGTAAAATGTTCTATCTATCATTTATATATTATAAGAATTTGTTCAAACTATCTTTTGATATTTAATATACTAGATCATTCAAAATTAATAAAAGGTCAGCAATGATTTAAAATAGCTTAAACAGTGGATAAAATATTGAAGCCTACATGTTTTATAAAATTTTAATTTTAATGAAAAATTAAATGAAATAAAATTAGGTGCTTTTTACAAAACAAAATATTACAATCACTATGAAATTATCTTAATTACAAAAATCACTTTTTAAAAATTTCACGAAATAACTTAATGATCATGAATTAAAAAATAGAAATAGATAGGACACTAAAATAAAATAAAATAAATTCCTCAACAAATTGGGGTTGAAAATATAGACTATTCTTTCAATACAGTTTGTAACTCTTCTATCAACCTATAAAAGTATTTTTTATAATAAAAAAACCTACAAGCATTTTTTTTTCTTTAATAAATAACCTGGTAATAAAATATTACATATATTCATTAATACATTCATACATAACATATTAGATTAAACATATACATGTAAATATACAAGATAATGTTTTCTCATGAGAAAAAATTATTGTATATAATAATAAAAACTGGATTATAGACAATTTATAGGAAATATTATAGTTGTGCTAAGTAGGAAAAAACAAATAGACCAACAGAAAAATTCGAATTATCCATCATTTCAAATTATTTAAGTTTAATTGCACAGCCATGCCACTTGTTTAACGCATGCTATAACAGCTGTCACCAGTCTGACCTCAAACAGCAAGGGGGCTTTTGGTTGTTATTGATCTATCCTGACAGATGGATCGTTAGATCTATGAGATAAGTCAGTAATTATGAGAAACAAAAATTATAGGAGAGACTAAAGTCGACAACAAAAAATTTATTTTATTTTCAGAGGTAAATATAGATCACAAATATCAACTTCAGATCACTTAAGAAATAGATAAACCTTGACAGGATTCTATTCTCATTAGTGGAAGTGAAACAGATAATGATTGTGTTGGCTTAGTTTTAAATAAAAACTATTTATAAGTATCGCTAAATAGCATCAGATGATTACATCAAGGGAAAGTTACTGTGGTAGATAGTGGAATTGATACTTACCCTATCAACAAGCATATATATTAAGACATTTAAATACATCAATAAAAATCATCAACCTATTTTGATTGCTGATGTTATGAATGAAGAGAGGGGACAGAAGTCAATATCCTGAACTTATTGGTGAATTTATAAATCAAAACCCAAAAGGGTACTAGTTCACAAGTTCCGCACGAATTAGGCATGGTTCAAAATCACTTAGGTCACACTTTTTCATGGATTGTTGAAAACATTCGAATGTTGGTATTTGTTATAAGATCAGCTCTTCTCCCAAACACCTATTCCTCTTTCACGCATTAATGAAAAACCTGTGTATCCTCACCAGAGAACATAGAAAAAAAATAAAAGTGAACCATACGTGAAATCCTTGAGGAACTCATGTGACTAATACCCCCAAAAGAGATAAAACATTCGTTATAAATGCCAAGAAAATAAAAACACATGAATAACTAATATTATTTTACTTACACTGAATTTTGTCAGAACATCAGATTCATAAACAAATTTGTGTGGGTCTGTCCCAGCTCTAGTAATAACTGCCAAGCCATGGTCACCAATAATCGTCTCAATCTAAAACCACAAAATATGGTCAGAATTAAATTAAATTTCATGTGCTCAATAATACCAGGTACATAATATTTCTTAATTACATCAGATTCCTTCCACAATCCAGGAGTGCTGAAAGATTGCAATAAGTCAGCCCCGCATAGAAGTTTCACCAAAACATTCACTCCATTAGTCTGAAATCTTTGAATATTTCTCACCCAAGATGGTTCATCATTATCATTGATTTTATTATTATCCATGTTGTTGTCTGTGCTGAGAGCTGAATTGATTTTATTCTTTTGAAAAATAAAATACATCAATTAGAACAATATTATATATGTATCATTGTCTAAACATTAAAAATATAATTAATAATAACAATATAAACAGGGAAAGTTAAATTAAACTACAAACTAAATCAATAGCAATTATCTAATATTGGCAGCAATTTTCTTAAAATACGATTAATTTTAATGAATCACATAAAAATTTCTTAAAAAATTATTCATCAACTACTATTAACTTGTTCTTTACAATTTAATATTATATTGTATTATTAATGTAATTGTATATTATCAACAATCCAATATTAAAAGCAATAAAAAAATGTTTTAAACTTTTAAATTATAAGGGATAATTAATTGTTGAGTGCTCTATGTGCAGGCTGTGTGTTTCAGATTCAAATAATCATTGCAAAAGCTGTTACATTAATTAAACCATATTGTGTAAAATTAGCAAAACAAACTTGATGATACTGGAGTGTTTGTCTGGTAGGTGTCCAGCTTTCTTGGTTGCATTCCCAATCACTTAAGTGAATCCATTCTGAGTCTTGCAAAGCAAGTTTTACTAATGTACATCGATGAGTAGATGCTATCAATTCTTTCTTGTTATAACCATCGTGAACGGGTGAAATAATTCCGCCTATCACCTGATATGGACCCAATCTGTTTATGTGATCTCTTGCCAATTCTAAAAAGAAGAAAGACACTCAAAATCAGTTATGTTAAGAAGCAACAAACAAATAATAAATAATTCAACTGCCTTACCAAACATCCTTAAGTGCATATGGGTAGGTGGATTAAATGAGCCACAAGCTAATAATACTATTTTGGTCTTAGTCATTTTTTAATGCTCATACAACTAATAACAGAAAATTTTACTTTTCAAAACATGAAATAAACCAGTAACTTCAACGATAACCTCCCAACAGTGATAAGAGATTGACAAGACAGATGGAGTTGAAACCGTTGTGGAACAGCTACAGGAACAGTAGCGGTTATCACAAGGAAACTGTGATAAGGTGACAGGAACCTGTGATAATTGGATCAACAGACTATTTCAGTATAAGTTGAAGGCCTTCATCTGTACCAAGAAAAGAGAAATACAACTATAAAAGAATCAAAGAATAGATTTAGGTAAAGTAGAAAATACATAAGAGAGTTCGAAACATTAATGCAATGGGATAACTAACCGCCCCAATGAAAGAAGTTTTCTTGTGCATCCCTTTCCCTCCGAGAAAAAATAACCAATTTTAGCCATGTTTCTTAGGCACAACGCAACATTTTCAAACTCACTCTTATACATATTAACCAGACCATTCATTTGGTTGAAATATCTGCTTGCTGCGCCCTTCCACCGAGAGCCTGTGAGCCCCAATCAAATAAAAAATTGAAATTCTTTATATATACATTCACGATAATTGAAATAATGAGAAATTAATGAAAAAGTGAGATGTGAAAGATATAAAAACATGAATGTTGTATAACTTTAAATAATATAAATACCTACTTTACTATATTGGCATTTCATTTAAGGGTTGCCTCTCATAGTCAGCTCAGAGCTCCATGCACTTCTATCTCGCCAATCGTCTTCTCCAGACCTCTTGGACCCTCTCCATCCGCCTACTTATGGTCCGTCCACATCCTCTTTCCCCCGGCGGAACCCAATCCAGGACTCGACAACATTAGTCCGTCATTCTCCTCATATGCCCATACCATCTTAGTCATCGTGCCCCGATCTTTTCATTAACCGCTGCATCCACATCCATTCACTGTCAAACTACCTCATTCTTAAGTTTATCAAGCCTACAAAAACGGAGATACCTTCTCCAGTGATCCATTTCGACCGCCTGCACCTTTGAGTACAAACGGGAGTTCATAGTCCATGTATCTGAGGCATATGTAAGAATAGCTTCCACTATAGCTGTGAATATTCTCCGCTTGTTCTCGGTTGACAGAGAACTGGATGTAGGATTCGGGTAACCTTATGGGCTTGCTCCACATTCCTCCTGACAACATATTCAGAAGACTCTGTAGCGTTGAGATAAGAGCAAGGTACTTGAAAATATTAACCTTTTTTGCAGGTCTCCTTGTCCTCCACTAGAAGTGCTCCAGTATCCGTATCGCCTATGGCCATGTATTCTGTCTTCTCGAAGTTGATCTTAAATCCAGTTGTATCGTAACAGGCCTTCAGCAGAAACACCATTACTTCGAGATAGATCATCCTTCTCGCTAATACGACCTGGTCGTCAGCGAAAAACAAGGACAGCAATTGCTCGTCATCAATAAATGGCCCTCAATAAAGCAAACAATATAAATGTTATGGTAACTTTAAGTTTTCATTAAATAAAATGAGGAAGTTAAAGAGAGAAATGCAAAACATAGGAATGTTGAATTTTTGGGAGGTAACAGACAAAGAAGAATATGGACTAATCCAGAGAAAGCAGTAGAGTATGGTAATGCGCACCCGCAATTTCTCTGTTTCGGGGTTCTGGACGGATACAGATTTTTATATCTTAAAAAATAGAAAGACTTATTTTTTAAAATATGTCGTTTATCTCTCATTAAAAAAATATATATTAATATTTATGTTATTTTTCAAGAAATTTGTCAATTAATTAAAACCGAACAATATAAAACTATATTAAAAAATAAACTTATATAAGGTATATATTGATTTTTTGTTTTTTCTTATGGGTGTATTTGATAATACATGAACAAAGCAATTTAATATATTAAATATTTTTATTTAAAGGTTTGAGGCAGCGAGATGAACTATCAATTCTTCAGTGCTTCAAATTTGCCACTGGAAATTTGTAAAAATCTTCACGTAGAATGGGAAGTCCTCATGAATGAATCATGATATGTTCTTACATATCATTATCTTTGACTATAAACCTTCTGGACCAGTAATAACCTACTTATAGGTCTTAGTGTAGCCACCTAGTCGACTTTTCCTATTTACTTAATTAATTTTAGCCTACATACTTTATTCATTTATGTAGATTAACTGTTATTGATTTTGATTTTATTTTTGTATACGGCCTCCTCAAGAAAAGTAAAAAAACATATATTTTATTTTTTAATTAACGCTCTCGCCTAAAGAAAAATCTTAATATTTATGTTATTATTTTTCAATCAGTTTATTATCCAATTAAAAAAAGTACCTCTTGTGGGGTACGGGGTGGATCACCCTCTGTGCATTTTCCAATATATTGGCTCACTAAACTAAAGTTAATAATTTTATTTATTTTTATGTAAAGTTCTTAGAAGATGATATTTCTGATTATCAGGTGTGCCCAGAAGGGGATTTAATGGCGCAAGTTGCACCATCAAAATTTTTGAGGGGGCATATTTTGAATTTTTGAGGGGTGCAAATTTCTACGGGGTCATGAATTTTCGAACTAAGGGACAAGAGGAAAAACATGGAACATACCGCAGCAAGTGTAATTGTGTATGATCTAGGATTTTTCTAATTCTACCTTAGCTTGCTCTGTTTTTAAGAAAAATGTGAGCAATAAAATATCTTGGGAAGAGGAGGGGGTGTAGGTTCTTGCTCCATCGTCGTTGGGGAGATGGGCATCCTTGCTGAGTATTATAATTAATTTCGTAAAAATAGATTTAGCATTAATACTAACATCAATTAATAATTACTAGTTACTTGTGGGGAAAGGGAAAGGAGTCGGTACAGAGAGATTTCTGCGTCTTTTCTCTTACTTTTCTTTGGAGAAAAAAATAAAATCAATAGATTTTTATTATTATAATTTGTAAATCAGTTTTTACCTAGTATTTAGGATATCACTGGTTCTGTAAATTTAAAATCGTATTACAATAATTATTTTTGAGTGACAAAATTTAAAGAAAACATAACATTTTTTGAGTTTTTTTTTTCCCTCAGAGTAAAATTCAAAACGTCATATTTTGAGTAATGTTTAAACTAGCGATTTGGGAGTTGTTTTATTGAAATCAAAGTGCAAGAGTGGACATCTGACTACTTTTTAATCTATATGATAAACTGACAAATAAATGGCTGGCAAATGATATACAATTCCATAAAGTAAACAATTATATTTCATAATTGTGGATGGATGGTTGACTGTAGAGAATAATTGGAGAGAAGAATGGTTTACTATTAAGAGCCCCTTACATGGTCAATATCGAGAAATATATTGATCCTGTAAGGGCTACATTGACATCAATTATATTGAGGTCAATCAAATTGGTTGATATCAACCTTTTTTTTTTTTTTTTAATGAAGCTCCTTCAATATTATTGAAACAGTGTCAACATAATTGTATGTCTAAGGGCTATATGGAGCAATATTAAACTACATTTATACGGTTCTTGAGAAGCTCCGGACGATACCAAATGTCCGGTGTCCCTCCTGCCAACATGTTTAAGTAAGGGGATGATACTTCTTTTTAACTTTAATTCTATTTATTTTTTTTTTGGGAGGGGAGAGGGGGTATTAACCCTCCCTCCGATTTTTTAAAAGATAAAATGGATGTACGTTTCGGTAGGTGTGTGATTCTTTCATTGTTTTATTTTCATTTTTTTTTTTTTTTTTGGTGGGAGGAGGAGGAGGGTTATCTCCCCTTCAATTTTGTTTTTAAAAGATAAAACGGATATACATATGTTTCGGTGGGTGAAACGTTGTTTTATTTTCATTTATTTATTTTTTTAATGCGGGGGAGGAGGGTTTAAACCCCACCTCCTCCAATATTTTTTTTAAAAGTTAAAACGGATATATATATGTTACGGTAGATGGGTGATACTTTGTTTTACTTTTATTTTATTTCTTGGAGGCAGGAAATTCATTGTTATTTATTTCCACAAAAAAGAAAGATTACCTCTTTGGAAAAATCCTTGTTTAATGGAAGGAAGATTTTACCTGATATAATATTGAGTCAATATAATTGACCTGTGTGAGGTACCCCTCCAATATATTGCCTTCAATTATATTACTTCAACTAATATTGGCTCAATAATATTGACCATGTAAGGAGACCTTTAATCTAACAACCACGGGCGGATCTACGGGGGGGGGGAGGGGAAGGGCTTTCGGGCTGAAGCCCCCCCAAAATGGAAAATTATAACCATGTTTATGGGGAAAAACATTTAAAAAATACCTCTTAAAGTATTATTGTTCGTGTAATTACATTTAAGAGTACTTAAGGGATAACTTAAACACTATTTCATATAGGTAGTTAGTTTCTTTCTGTTTTTCCAAAGTAATTATCGTTATTTTTATGAAAAAAAAAAGTTTCGGCCTGAAGCCCCCCCAAAACTAAATCCTGGATCCGCTAGTGCTAACAATTGTTTGCTTACCCTTTTCTTTCTTCACTTTAATGCATGTTCGAAATTTTTGGTCTCCATATTATCTTGGTTTATCACTTAATTCGCATTCGAATATGATTCTGAACGAATATCAAAATGTATTGATTAATATATATATATATATATATATATATATATATATATATATATATATATATATATATATATATATATATATATATATATATATATTAAAAAATAAAATGAAACCACTTTCAGTCCTCTTCGCTTAATTTTAGGTAAGAAAAAATTGTTTGAGTTTTATTTAGAGCGAAAAAAAAAATTCGAAAATATTATATTGGAATAAAACATTTTATTTAAATATTGTAGATGATTTTTTTTTTTTTTTAATAAATACATATTCATGGACTTATTTTGGGTCATAATTAAGTATATTTTGATACTCCAATGTACATATATATAAAACCATTAGTGGATCCAGGATTTAGTTTTGAGAAGGCTTCAGCCGGAAAGATTTTTTAAAAATATATAACAAAAATTACTTAGAAAGGAAAGAAAGAAACTAATTACAACATGAAATAGAGTTTAAGTAATTCTTTAAGTACTGTTAAATATAATTACACGAACAATAATACTTTTAGAGGTAATTTTTAAATATTTTCTGTTTCATAAGACATGGTTGTATTTTACCATTTTGGGAAAGGCTTCCGCCCGAAAGTCTCCCCTCCCTCCCGTAGATCCGCCTGTGTATAAAACTTATAATAATTTAACTGTGTATAATTTAACAGACAAACACACCTCATTCATTGTTTTGTATGTATATATCAATCATGAATTATTTAATAAGCCTTTAAGTGGGCATATAATTGGTTAATAAATTTATTTACAATCATCGGGTGTACAAAAATTAGCATTAGCATCCCCTTTTATTTAAATTTGCTAAAAATGATTTAATTTTGTTTCATTTAGAAATATTTATGATGATTATATGTACTTATTTCGTATAGTTAGCTCCTATTTAAAATAAATAGCTAAAATAAAAGTGTTTTCGATGCAGTTGAATAAAACCGGGGAAGGTAATGTTAATTTTGGTCCACCAGATGTCGCATCGTTTCTTGGAACTCAGTACCTGAGTTGCATATCGTTGAGCGACTTGTTTGTCAGTGTGTGTGCTTAGTCGATCTCTTGTTTTTGTGGGTTTAATCATGAAGGATACATCTATTTTAGTTTTTATATGTTTTTTGACGTTTGCTTATGTGCGATCAGAATCTTCAAAAGATTATTTGAAGCGAGAACACTCCCTTATCAAGCCCTATCAAGGTACAAGTTATAACCTTTAAATCATTCTTCTTTTCTTTATTAATATTAAGTGATAAGACAGGTTGGTTGTGCTAATTTGAAATGATTATTTTTATTTGATTGTTGTTTGATTTGTTTTTTATTTTATGCAAACAGGTACAGGTATGATGGTACCTTTTTGGGACTTCAGTGGTAGCACCTTAGTCACTCCCAACCTTGTGAGAATCACACCTGACCAACAGAGTAAACAAGGTTCTATATGGAATTCAGTGGTAAGATTAATATAATTGTTTCTTACCCTTTGAGATTGCCATGAACTGTTTACTCATACAATTTTATTGACTACAGTCGTGTACAGTCCCAAGTTGGGAAATGCAAGTACAGTTTAAAATACATGGGCATGGAAAGGAACTTTTTGGTGACGGAATGGCTATCTGGTATGCCAAAGAACGTATGCAGCCAGGACCAGTGTTTGGTAATCAAGATTATTTTCATGGATTAGTAGTTTTTATTGATACATACAGCAACCACAATGGTGAACACAATGTAAGTCAAATTATTTTGTCTAAAATCTAATGCTCATTTACAATCCTTAATAATTTAAAGTTTTTGTTTTTGTTTTGATTAGCATCAGCACCCATACATTTCAGCCATGATTAATAATGGAACATTGCATTATGACCATGATAAGGATGGTACCCATACTGAACTAGCTGGCTGTGAAGCTAAATTACGGAATGTATTTTATGATACTAATGTTGCGATCAGATATGAACAAGATACATTAACTGGTAAGTTGTCCTAACATTTACTTAATCCTCTCATCAGTTGAACACTTTAACTTATTTCTATTTCTTTTTAGTTCTTACAGACGTTGAAAACAAAGGAGAGTGGAAGGAATGTTTCAAAGTACATGGTGTGAAACTTCCTACGGGTTACTTCTTTGGTGTATCTGCCGCCACTGGTGATCTCTCAGATAATCATGACATTATTTCCCTTCGTTTATTTGAATTGGATTCATCTGATGTAAGATTATTTAATTTTGATCTTATACAATTTAAATATATAGTTATGTTCTTGCTGTTTTTATTTATATTATCATGATTTACAGATTGTTGAAGATCGGTCCAAAATTCTCCCATCAGCATTGAAATATGAAGCACCTAGAGGTGAGTGATATTGTGAATTTAGACTTTATGGGTATGGAAGGTTTAGTTGTTGATATGAGGTCATGCTTAGAGGTCATGTATTTTAGCCTGCATGCCTCTCAAGGTTTTGATAATTGATATGATATGATTTGTAGTTATCAAATTTTTTATCCAAACACAGTTTGATCATTAAATAATGCCTAATCTCATTAAAAAAAATTGAATTTGTTTTCCTTTAAAATTTATCCCATTCATATTATTATTACAGTTGTTTATTTGTATACATTATAGGTTTTCCAAGCCTTATTATTATGAAATGGTTGTAACAAAATTATAAAAGTAGCTACTATCTGTTTTTCCTACACACTTTAATAATATAGTTGTGTTTAAAGACTAAAAAATGATCTAATATTGCTGTTTTCTAATTTACATAAAGTATAATTTTATGTTAGTCTGAACTATTATCAGTAGTATTTGTATGTTATAGTTATTATTTCAATTATATGACACCATTTTTCCATTTACATGTGTAATAAATATGCTATGTATTATGTTAAGAGTTATATTCTAATTTTTGAATGCTTGTTGTTAAGATTAGTAATTGTTTTGAAATCAATCTAATCGTATTTATTAAATCTTGCAGAGAGGATCGAAGATGTAAAGCCTGCTTGGTCTGGTACAAAAACCTTCTTTATTATGCTGTTGGGAGCAATATTGCTCATTGGTGTAGCTGTCGGTGCTGTTTACGCCTATCAACAACATCAAACGAATTCACGGAAGAGATTCTATTATTAAATTTTGAATTTTTCTCTTATAATCATTCAAACTATTTTGCCACTGTTCTGAGACATTCATGAAATATTTCGTTATTTAGTGCAGTGTCATACTATAAGTAAGTAAGGAACCATAATTGTCATCAGAAATTAAATGTGATAATACATTTTAGAAGAAGAAGAAAAAAAAAGTAGAGTTTATTGTTCCAGAACTATTTTTGTGAATAGTGAACATGGACCTTAATATATTTTAGTTTCAAATTTTTAAACTGTATATATATATGTTTATATATAGGAATAAGAATTTTAAATTGGACTTAAAAATCTGTGAAATGTATTTATTGAATATCATGCTGAATCAAGTGTTTACTTCCCAAGGTTATTTGGATTGTTAATTTATGTTTTCATCACAATAGGAGATAAGTTATTTTATAAGATATTATGTGAGTATGTGTATATATATCTTTCTATAGTTAGTTATTATTACTTGAATTATTTAAGATTCATGTATTGAGTACTGATACGTTAAGCTTCCTCATTTTTTCTCCCTGTTTTTAAGCTATTTATTGTAGGTACTTCTTAAGTCATTCATGTTCGTTAAATCAATTTTTTATTTCATTAATGTGATATATTTTTCTGAATATTGATTTTGTTGGTAGATTTATATTGATATCTTTCAATAAATTTGACTCCATCAAGCAATCAATCTGGTAGAATTTGTATCATTTTGTTTTTTGTTGAAGAATAAAACTTGAGATTGTTTTCTTTTATGCACTTTTCTAAAATTTTACACCAAAACTTACTTTAAATATAAATTACATTCTATGTACGTAACCTATATAATACATTTAAAGTACATAGTAATTTTATATGTTTTTATTTAATAGTTTCATACTATAAAAAGAAATGACTCAATGATTAAATATGCCACTAGAATTGCATAATTATAATTTTCAAGTTGAGGTTGGTGCCTCCAACACTGCTTAATTTATGGTGTCTGCTTAACAATCCATATCAGCTATCACAATGGTTCCCAATAACTGCTTTGCTACTATGCCTCTAGATGTTCAATGATTTTTTAATATCTAATAATTAGTTTGAAGTATCACATTTCTTTTAAAATAATCATTTATTATGACTTATCATTTTAACAATATTTTTCTTTTAATGTTCATTTTTTTCTTTTGGTATTGGTAACATCGCCTTCCAACTTACCTTATAACTAGCTATATACCCAAATTACTTTCAAATTGTTCCAAATTACTTTTTTAAATGTTAACTCAAAATATCTGAATTAAGTATAAGAGACAAATACAGCATGCAAACTTATTATTCCTGTGCCTTAATCCTTCTAATTTTTCTGATTGAGTTGATGATCCAATTTACTCTATCCCTACTCAGTGGACTATATCTTAGTGGTACATAGAGTTTAAATCTGCAATGTAGTGTAGTGCCAGCAGTCTTTGGTACCTAACCTTATAAGTGATAAATTTCATTGCCTACTACCCACACTCCTGCTTTGGTCTCAGTACTTCAATGATCAATAGGACTTCATACATTTTTAGACCTAGTAGTCACTTGACCCCGGAACACAGAAGAAACTTCTACACCCAGAAGAGGGCCAGCTAAAATAGTAGACTCTAGAGTATCTTATTCTCAGTTACTAGGGGGTAGAGTCCTGACTGATAAATGTGAGGCCCTGCCGCAACAGGGACCCCAATCCCAACTCCAACACCCTATCCCTCCTAATGTACAAAACTCTCAACAACCTCATCAACATCAAATTCCTTATATTCCTCCTCCATCACAAGCCACTGATCTTACCAGTTTGTTGGCATCTTTTCTCACCGAATTCAAATCCCTCATCACCCCACTAATATCTCCTTACAAATCTCGTATCTCACCTCATCCCTCCTTTAAAAAATCCTTAAATGAATTCCATCAAATCCCTATCCATTCTCCTTTGGAATGCGAATGGTGTTAGAAACCACACTGACGAACTAACAGCTTTATTGCGAGATAAGAACGTCGATGTAGCCCTTATTACAGAAACTCGACTGACCAAAAAACAAATTTTAAATATACCTCAGTACTCAACATATTGTACTGACCATCCAGACGGTAGAGCTCATGCCGGCACTGCAATCTTTGTACACCAATCCCTCTCTCATCACCTACTCCCATTACCTACTCAAGATTTCCTACAATCCACTGCTATCATAATCAAAACCTTATCGTTTCCTATTACCCTAGCATCAGCGTATTGCCCTCCCAACCAATCCACCTCTAATATCCAATTTAGTTCCTTCCTTAATTCCTTAGGACACCATTTCATCCTGGGTGGAGACCTAAACGCCAAGCATCAGCAATGGGGTTCCAGAACAACAAATTCTCGAGGTCCGAACACTGCTGTCTGCACTCAACTTCCAACATTTCAATCTCACTCTCCCGAACTCACCTACCTACTGGCCCACTGATCCTAACCGTAATCCCGATGTCCTTGATTTCTTCATCCATATTGGTTTAGGTCCCCTAAACTATTCAATTGCACGCCTTGATGAACTTTCCTCAGACCACAGTCCATTAATATTCCAAGTATCACTAGCTCCTATTCCTAAACCCTCTCCACCGTCCTTCATCAGAGGCCCAGTCAACTGGAAACTCTTCCATCCAATCCTATCTGATCAAATTGACCTCAGAATAACTCTGAAAACCCTAGAAGACCTTGACAATGCTGTACATTCCTTAACCACCATCATTCAACAAGCAGTCTGGATTGCTTCCTCTCCTAATCATTCTCCTAGAACTCCAAAGAAAAATAAATTACCTTATCACATCCTCGACTTAATCCATACCAAACGCCGTGCCAGATTGTTATGGCAACGTACCAGACATCCCACTGACCGCAGCTGCTATAACTATCTCTGTAAACAACTAAAGCAAGAATTATCCAACTTCAAATCCCAATCCTTTAACTCCTTCCTTACCTTCCTCTCTGCTCACGACAACTCCCTCTGGAATATCACCAAAAAAATATTAAAAACCCATAATATTTCCCATCCCCTCCGTCGAGGTGATGGCCCCTGGGCGGCGTCTGATGAAGACAAAGCTGAGGAATTCGCCAAACACCTTTTCAGTACATTTATTCCTCATCCCGAATCCAATCCGACCCACACTACAACAGTAGAAGAATTCCTTTCTTCACCAATTCCACTCTCTTTACCACCAAAAGCAGTTCATCCATCTGAGGTCAAATATCATTTACAAAAACTATCTTCCCGCAAATCTCCTGGATACGACCTTCTAACCCCACAGATCCTTCATCAACTACCACCCAAAGCAATCATATTTCTCACGTACATATACAACTGCATCCTAAGAACTACCCATTTTCCTCTCTTATGGAAACATTCTACCATCGTCCTTTTCTTGAAACCTTTCAAACCTTCCAATAATACATCATCATATAGACCAATTAGCCTACTCCCAATCCTTTTCAAAAATTTTTGAAAAAATCCTACTGAAAAGAATCCTACCCATAATAAAATCCCAAAACCTTCCAACCCAACAATTCGGATTTCGCTTCCAACATTCCACTGTCCAACCAGGACTCCGACTTGTTGACCACATATCCTCAGCCCTAGAAAGCAAAGAGTACTGTTCGGGGGCATTCCTGGACATTGCGCAAGCTTTTGATCGGGTATGGCACGTCGGACTGCTCTTCAAGCTCAAATCCCATCTACCCCATTCCTTATATCTTATCCTCCGATCCTACCTCTCTGATCGCTCCTTTCAAGTTCGCTATGGTACAGAATCCTCCAACTGTCATTCAATCAAGGCGGGAGTTCCTCAAGGCAGCGTCTTGGGTCCCTTCCTCTACATTCTGTTTACCGCTGATATTCCTACTCATCCTGAAACACTCCTGGCAACATTCGCTAATGACACAGCCATCTTATCTTCCAATCCAGATCCTGAAATAGCATCCTTAAACCTACAAAGTCACCTCTCTCTTATTGAACACTGGTGTAATAAGTGGCGAATCCAAATCCAAACATATTACTTTTACCCTTCGACGCAATTCCTGTCCACCAGTCTACTTCAACTCCATACCACTTCCTCTGTCCGACACAGTCCGGTATCTTGGCTTTATTCTAGACAAAAGACTAACATGGAACCCACACACCAGACTTAAAAGACAACAACTTAACAGACGATACGGACAACTATATAGACTATTAAATAGAAAATCTCAACTCTTAGTCGACAACAAACTATTAATCTACAAGACAATCCTAAAACCTATTTGGACCTACGGAATAGAACTGTGGGGGACAGCAAAACTTTCTAACATCAAACGCATTCAATCCTTCCAGTCTAAAATCCTCCGAACAATAGTCGATGCTCCCTTCTATGTATCCAACAAAACCCTCCATAATGACCTTCATATCCCATTTGTTATTGACCTAATCCCAGAAAATTTTTCCAAATTTCACCAGAAACTCATTCATCATCCAAATCCTGTAGCACAATCCCTATCTAGCTCCAGTCATCCCTACGATCCTCCCCAGAGGTTAAAACGGCAGTGGCCCCGCGACCTTTTGTAAATATGTACATATTGGAGTACTGGCAATGGCCAGATTCTCCACTCAAGCCACATGAGCGTCTGTTGCTATAGTGCCCTCCATCAGTTTCCACTGGTTTTAAATAACAGTGTCGCGGCTGAGAGAGAAGCACTGGGATCTCCTGGAGTCCTGCCTTGTCTTCCACGTCGGGGAATAAGGCATGACTCAGAGTCCCCTGGGTGAATGTAAATATTGTACATAGGTGTGAATGTGATTTATTTACTTTAATTTTATCTAGCTTTTATCTATTATTTCATTATTTTTTTTGTACACAGGCATACCAATTTACTTATTTTATTTTATTTTTTTATATTTCTTTTTCTTTATTATTGATATTAATTGTATGTACATATTGTGTGAATGAATCATGTAGCCTTAATATTAATGCTCTTCAATGTGG